CTGGGATAGATGTAATTTTCTTCATAGTAGCTAGTATGAGGCTATGTTTTGGATTTGTGCTGAAAACAGCATGGATAATACAGGGATGTTTTAGTTCCTGCTGAGCAGTGCTTACACAGAGTCAAGGCCTCTTCTGCCTCTCACCCCACCCCACCAGCAAGTAGGCTGGGGGGGCACAAGAAGCTGGGAGGGGACACAGCCAGGACAGCTGACCCCAACTGACCAAAGGGATATTCCACACCATAAGACGTCATGCTCAGCATATAAAGCTGGGGGAGGAAAAAGGAAGGAAGGGACGTTTGGAGTGATGGCGTTTGTCTTCCCAAATCACCGTTACACATGATGAGCCCTGCTTTCCTGGAGATGGCTGAACACCTGCCTGCCCATGGGAAGTAGTGAATGAATGCCTTGTTTTGCTTCTACTTGTGCACACGGTTTTTGCTTTCCCTATTAAACTGTCTTTATCTCAACCCATGAGTTTTCTCACTTTTACTCTTCTGATTCTCTCCCCCATCCCACCGGGGGGGAGTGAGCGAGCGGCTGCATGGGGCTTAGTTGCCGGTTGGGGTTAAACCACAACAGCCATCTTCTCTGACCAAGCCCTGCTGTCACAGCACCTGTAAATTTCAACTTCCCAATAAACTTCCAAAGGTGTTCATATAAACATATTCACCACCACCAGAAGTAAGGAGATGGGCGTACACAGTTGGCAGGAGAAAGGTAAGCTACTTCAGCAGTGGCACATTGTTAGACATGGCACAAGGCTGCAGTTCAACTGGATGGTGGAGTCACTCAGCTGCTAGGGTAGCTCATCAAACTGATGGAGCTGGGAGAAAACCTTCCTTCACCCCCTCCCACACAAGCAGCAGATTTCAGGGCTGCGGCGGGGTGGGTGGTGGTGTTTAAAACATGCTATTTCAGAGACGCTGTACAAACTGTTGAATTAACACAGCTAAACAGACAGTAGCCTTCAGCTAAATCTTGAAGGAATAGAGTCTCCTACACCAGTTTTGCAACTAGCAGATTTGGGATATGGATCCACGCTCCACTACATTGGTAAAATTTGCCACCTGATCTACATTATCAGAGGCTCATGTGTGGAAAAACTGTCAGAAGCTGCTTCTGTTCCCCTCCAGACCAACACTCAGAGCTGTGACTGGAGAAGCTCAACCAGTCCTCTGAAGCACTGTGCCATTTCAGAAGCTCCCGGAATCTTACTGAGATCTCTATTGCTATTAGGTAAAGATCCCTATGCAAGAAAAATATTGCTTGTTTGAGTGTTTGTTTTCACATGCTGCGTAACAATTTCCTTTCACCACTTAGACTATGAACCTCCTTGTTTCTAAGGAAGCAGCTGGAGAGGTCCAAGAGCAGCACAGTACCTGAGCCTTCTGAGCCACATCTAGAACAAGCTGAAACTTTTCAGACACGGTCAGGTCCTCTTTTGGGGGTTCCTTGGGCAAGAAAGAGACAAACCATTAATTTTCAGCTCAGCTGAAATTGGTATTTTACAAAACTCCTCTGACAAGGCGACCCCTCAACATTCTTGGCAATAGTCCTCTCCCTTTAAACAGTCTCTAAATGTACCAAGTTCATCCCTTGTTTCAGATCTACTGTTTATGTCTTTCATTGCTGGTTATCTTTAGTTCTCAATGCTTTTCCACCACGGTATATGCAAACATATTAATATGAGGCTGTGAAAGACATAGTTAAGTCTTTAGAGCAGCACAGTTACAATGACTTTCAGTCTATGACCACACACTTAAACTGATCTATTTCTGGTCTAGCACAGAAATGTCATTTTTGATAGAAGTTTTACATCTAGAACTTTTAAATTTATTTATTTAAATAGATTATTGGCCTTTTAAGAGTAACAAAATTATCCTGGAAGCAAGGCCTCACTAAGTCTTAGTGAAAGGTTTGGAATTCAAAACCTTACATTAACACTTAAAATCCTTCCTGCTTAAAGCAGGGTATGCAAACATTAATTTCAAAATGTTACAAAGAAAACAGAATGCAAGGCTTCTTGAAGATCCCACAGGATCTAATTTGTCCCAAGCTGGCATATTAACATTGATTCCAGAAATGTGATTCAAGTTTGGAATATTTTAGGGTGAAATACCCAAACCTAAGAGTGCTGTTAGTGAAGATTTCTAAATTGCAAGAAAAAGAAAAAGGTTGTAGTGTCTTTCTTTGCACATCACTCTTCCTTCCTTTCACAACTACCCCCATAAATGCTGAGGAAGGTTTTAAAGGTGCAACTTTTAACATAGGCATACAGGTCAACCCGATCAAAGACCTACCACGGGTTCAGAAACTTCAGGCACAATGCTCCACTGTATTCTCCAACCCCTAGAAGTTATGGAAATAGTTAAAGAGAGCAAGTACTTCTTCTTCACCTGCCAACACGGATTATTTGTAAGAGGTTAAAAAGTAGTTTTCTGCAATAAGCACTATGGCTTAAAAAAATAATAAAATAATCCCCAAATTAATGAAGAACACACAGCATAACAAAAGCCATAGACAACTTTAAAGGTATATACATTGGCCAACCATAGACAGCTTTAAAGGTATATACATCTACAAAAATAAAATAAAATATTAGGTAGGTAGATACTACACAGAATCACTGCTTATGGGTTTTACCACAAAAGTGAACTGTGTGCACAGAATAAATAATTAGGAATATTTTTTCTTGTTTTTTAATGAGAACAAAATCACACCAACTTATTCAGGAGCCTATTTGCTACCAGCAATTTTCAAAGAATAGAGTGTCAGACAGTAAGTATCAATTAAGAAGTCAGAAAATTATTTTAAAATTTAAGGTCATTTAAGGACATTAAGGTCCTCTCTACCATCTTATGGGGGAAAACACCATCAGCCTAAAACAGCATTTTAAAAAGATCCTCCCAGTACAGAAAATGTAAATTTTTTTAAATGTCTTAATTTTTAATAGAAACTGAATTTACAAATGGAAGATACTTTGGATAAAGTATGCCAAGAGCTACTGAAAAAGGCAAAACTGCAATTTTAGGCCTAGGTGAAAATTCTCTCCAGGGAAAAGCAGCAGGCTTCAATACTTAAGGTGACGTTCTCCAACTACTCTGAATGCTGCAGAATTTTATTTTACAATTTTAACGTGCTGAGGGATTTGTCTGAGAACATGCAGCATCATTTACGATGACTCAAGTCACAGGATACGAAGATAATTCCTTAGAATAGTCAAAAATTATAGAAATTGAGCAATGAAATTAAGGATACTAGAGTGTGAATTTCACTTTGTTAGACTTAACTCACAACGTTAGAAAAAGTAACAGTTTACAACTCAGTGCAAGAATAATAAAACATCTTTCAAGCAAAGCATTATAGGAGCATAATCTAGTATTTAAGTAAATACCTGGCTATGAGGTAATTTAGGGACAACCTCAAAATTGCTAAAAATAAGAACATAGGAATGGCCCAGCCATGCCATACAGCATTCATGTAAATCTGCAGATTAAGGAAAAAAAAAAAAAAAAAGAAAAAAAAAGAGAAAAAGAGAGATGTGGATTATAAACTGGGGTACAGTGACTTGCATGAAATATCGTTTCCCACTGTACTACTGAGTTCAGAATCATGGAACTCAGGTCATAAAAATTAATAAATTTTAGCCACACCATGACTGACAACAGCACTGTATTCGTGAATGTAAAGTTGAAACTAAGATTGAACCATCCGGAGATGACACTTAACTAGTTCTCAGCTGCTTGAGAGAGAGAGTATTGAGTATTTCCAACACTGCAATTACATGAAGACGTAGGAAAAAGAAGAAGTAAATGCTTAAGTCTGTGAATCTGCTATGTAACCGTGATATGGTCTAACCTCACCTAGGGCAGTTGAAGCAAGAGTTGTAACAATTAGCCCCATACAGGGTAACAGCATAAACTCTCACTCTATTATTTCAGGTCAATTAAATCCCATATTTTTACCAAGCTTAAAAAGATTGCAGGAAAACAGGTTTTATTCTACCTAACGAGTACAAACACAAAGTGTTTCAAAAGGTATTCTGTCCCTCTCCCAGCTTCTGAAAATAAAGGGACTACATCCTCCCTGCCGAGAGACGTTAGGTTCTTTACTGATAACCCCAAAATGAAGCATCGCTCTGGCTCCGAAGTCCCGAAGCTTTCTGAACCACAGCTGAAGTTCCTTCTTTCAGCTTTTATCTGAAGAATGGGTTTGTCAGGACAGGCAAGAGAAAAATCAGTAGATTACTAGAAGGGACAGACACAGGGCACTGTAAGGGGGAAGTCTCCTCCTCAATATTCCTTCAGCTGTGCTGTGCAAAGTAGCATTAAATAGGGCTCTATAACTTGCAGAGAGGCGTCATTTAATGAAAAAGTGTGTGACATTTTCACCAAACAGGTTCATTCAGCTACAACTACCGGTAATAATTTCCTTCGATATCACAATATTTCATTTACACTGTGACCAAAACAATTTAGATCATTTAATTAACAACTAGAAGGAAAACAAATCAAAACTCCACTAAATAGTTATGTCACTTTGTGGCATGCAAACCTCCTTACATAGCATGGGAATGCTTGAATTTAGCTCACAGACATTAAATGATAATCAAATCAAGGCATTTTGTCTCTTATCAGTAAGTACGATCCTAAAGAATGGCAAAGAACACTGATGGTGAACGATAGCTTCTTATCAAACATAGCCACTATCAGCATTTCAGCCCTAGACAAGAGATTTTGCAGAGGCTGAAGTAACCATCAAATTACAGGACTGGGACACAGGAAACAAGAAACGAGAGAACAATGCCCAGATCGTTTTAAGTTCTTTTAAGAGTTACAGAACTATGCTACAATAAACCCAGAATAACAATTTAAGTGGCTTTGAAATATAACTGAAGTGACAGTTACTGGTACTTTGTGTTAAATGAAATCACACTATTTGATTTGACTTAAACTGTAGCACAACCCCTACTCGGATATGGCAGTTTCAATGAATTTCAGTAAATAATACATTTTAAAAGTTCTTACTACTCCTGGAGGAATAGGATAACTTACAATAAAGGCAATAGCAGAAGTGTAGATAGAATACCAGTCTGATAAGGCAGAAAGATTCTTCACAAAATTAGTAACAGGTTTGGCACCTCTCTCTAAACAGAAGCGGAGAAAAAACACAACTGTTAGAATTAGCTGGCAGTGGTTAATTAACTTGTAAATGACAACCAACCAAATTAGAAAATTAATAGGAATATTCAAGACATGTAATGATAAAAAGGCTTATCCAAATTAAGAAAAACAAAATCCATCAGTGTAACTGAATAATTAGTTAAGGAATGCATTTTCAAAAACTAGTGTTATTCAAGACAAAGGTTATGTCTAAACTCTTAAATATAGAAGGGGAAGGGGCGGGGTGGGGGGGGGGGGGCGCGGAATCAATGTCCTTTACAAGGGTACCCTGGATGCTGATAGCAGTCTGTTCTGAGCCCTGTTCATACAACGTCAAAGACCTCCGCACAGGTCAGTTCATCCCACTTTAAAATAAGGTAAACCAGCCTGACTGGACTCCAAGCCACCAAGGAACAACTTGCTGCTGCTTGACCAAGCTAGCTTAAAACCAGGCTATATCTCTCTTGGCTACGTTTCTGCAGGAATCTATCCATTGGTAGCACTTTGCTGCTTACTCTTCCTAAGCCAAGAGACACAGGACCTTGCTGCCTGAGGATGTTTGTCTCCCACCTCTGCAGACCTTTGCTCTTGCTGTCGCTGCACGGGAGACAAACCTGTGCTGGGAGAGGCGTCACTCCCACGCGCAGATGCCCAGTCAGCCAGAGACAGCAAGAGGAGCTCTTCCTCAGCTCCCTAAAAAACACTTTTCCTTTGTCCTTCCTACTCCTCTAGGGCCTTTTACCACTTGGGCAAACTAGCTAGGGGACACAAGAAAACGGGTGAGAGCTGCTGCAAGAAGACCTTTGCTTCCTCTGCTGGAACCCACCGGTTTTGCCTTCCCTGCTGAGAAGACTAAAGACTCTTGGGGGCCCCAGGAGTACCCACCCGCATTTGCAGTACAGCTCACAACTTTAAAAGCTTTCCTCGAGGCAGCCTATGACTTGCTGTCCTAGTTTGTTTGGCTTGAAATTCAGCTATCCTTGATACATTCCCTATGGGAAGTAATTAAACAACTAGGACTAGATTTCCTTGAGCATCAGTGGGACAACCAAAGCAGCAGATGAAGTAAGTGGAGGGGCACACTCAAGGCACTGGAGGAGGTCATGGACTCAAGTTCTGCTCCACCATTCTACACCGAACCTGCAGGGAAGGTCAACACCTGGAAACCGCTGACAACAACAGAGGTCTTGAGAGCAACCAAGGGAGCTCCAGGTGGTTGTCAGGCACCCCTGGACAACAGGGATCTAGATTTTGTAGCTCACCTAGTGGAAGTTAAGAATCATTCAAAGCTTAAGCTTAATACTGCTTTTTTTTAAAGCTATTCTGAAGGCAATGCACATCCACCACAGAGAACAGGTCACAAGTATTCTCCCAAAAGAAACTAGAATGAATACCAGTATTAGAATAAGAAGAACAAAACTGACGTTACATGGACATTACAGACCCTTATTTCAACTTCACCTTCGCCCCTACAATTTGGAGCACAAATCAGTCTTTTTTTTTTCCCAGGCTAGCAATTCTTTGCTGCACAGAACTTCTGGAGGGCTTAACTACTTTGTTTAACCTGCCATCTTGCATTCTCCACCTTCCAAAACAACTTATCAGCTATCCAAGACAAAGAAATGCAAGACACGCTCAGGGTATGCATCGTCCAACCCCTCCTTCTTTGAAAGCATAAGCTAATAGCCTAGCAAGTGAACTACAAGTAGCTCAGGCGTAAGTGTCTGAACACTATTACCATTGGACAAATACTCTGTTCTCATTCATCACATGTTTACACATTTTAACTAACATTACATTTTTAGTTCAGAGATACCCTATGTCATTCAAGATTAAAGGCAAGCTTCTACCACTGCTCCTCTAAGTTACTTTGCACTCCAAACACTAATTCAGGATTTCAGAATCATTTCTGCCTATGAACTGGCAGAAGTGTTTCAAAACACTGTATTTTAAAATGCAGCAATCCTCCCAACAGGGTTGCTAAGAACTATTTTTACTTCCAGAAAATAAAATACTGCTAAGTACTTACTTAATCTTCTCATATTTTCAGTCAACCTGAAAAATAATGGATAAAAGCAACTTGTTAAATAGGCAAGTAATGCACAGTTGTGTCCATTTGGTCCCTGAAATACTGCTCACAGTTATAAATTAGATGTTTGTGCATAAAGCTTTGTTCTTGCCTGTTATGAAAGTGTTTCTAGTAACTAATACAGCCTACCTTGCATCATATCAAAAATTGAAATGTAAAAGCTCTCCAGCCTAACTAAGACTTTCTCCACAGTTTTCAAGAGGCATGTGATGGAACCTGGTAAATAATATAACTCTCATTCTACCTCAGACAGCAGATAAACTTCAAATTTCATGTTTTGGCCAAAGCATTCACAAACCTTTTGAGATGGTTCTGTACTTTCAGTTTTATTAGTTGTTATGCAAACACTTGCTTAAACCATGTAAAAGGTTGTAAAAACACGAAAAGAGGGAAAAAAAGCGACTTGTAAAGAAGCCAACAACTTCTCATAATCACGTTAGAGATTTACCTTCTAGCACTAAGTGGCTCTTCTGTTTCCACTGTATTCTCTTCTGGCTGAAATCTGAAGTCCTCAACATACTCCCCAAATTTGTCACAAAACCACTTCTGGAGTCTTGAACAGACTGTGTGACTACGCTTATCTATAAAAAAGAAGCACTAAGTATCAGGATAATACTAGACGACGTCTTCATACAAAGCCTGCCCCTGTTCCCACACACCAGGCTTCGCTGGGAAGCAGACTCTGTACAGCTTTCCTGTCCTACACCAACACTCTTCACGGAAACTCACTATGCAGTTTACTTCTGCCATTGCACAGGAACCTTGACTGCCCTAAGCTGGTAAAATAGGACTAAAGGTGACTCCTGCTTTGCTCTAAGTACAGCACATGGAAGCATCTTATTACCAGAAGCAGAGAGATTACTTAAACATCCTAACAAACAAGAATTTTTAGCGAACATTGTAAAAACATTTTCTGGTTAAGAGGTTCCTGTAAACAAAAGACTGACGTAAATCTCAGCGCTCCTATTGTGCTGAAGGGTCACCTCCAGAAAAGCAAGTGTAAAGCAAAGCACTCCTGAGCAGAGAGCAGGACAACCACTTTGCAGCCACATGAATTTGACAGGAAAGGGAGATGGAAACTTAAGCAAGATTCTGCAAGAATTTTACTACCACTTTCCAACCATTTATAGGCTGTAAAGGTTTTGTGTGTGTGTGTGTGCGCGCGCGCGTGTGTGTGTATATATAAATGTGCACTTTTTTTTTTTCCAAAGCCAGGCTACAGAAACTATGCTGTATATGCCACTTTCTATATATGGAATATTATAGTCATAATACTGCCTGGAAAGTCTTATATGGCAAAGTAATGAAGCGATGCACACTTTCTGTATGTCAGTTTCAGTGGAAAAAATTAACATAAATATATGGGTATATGGAAATAATATAAGGGTAAAAGCCTTAAGGCAGTGCAGGTCAGAACAAAACAATCACCTTTTGCTTTACCTGTAACTCAGAAAATCACTGTCTAGAAGGAATAGACTGACTGTTCTTTGGAAAGGTAGGTCAATACAGCAATGTCACAAAGAGGACACTGATCACAACTATTCCAGGACCAATCCTAGTACAGAACTCCATAAAATTAAGATATGATTAAACAGAAGCATGAAAGATTAATCAGCCAACTACAATAGCCAAAATGGTGCTTTTAAGCATGTGAGAAAAAGCAACGGGTGCTCAGAAAATAGAATCAAACTATTTATTAATGAATGGCAGTGATACCTAGAAAAACAGAATTTAGTGGCAGTTTACAGCTGAGACAACACTTATATTTGAAAATAAAAAAATAGGAAGTAGCTTCTCACATGCTAATACTTCAGATAGTACTGAGAAAGAAATTTTGAACATACAAGACAGAAAAAAAGACCAGGCTGTAGTTCACTTAACAGAAAGTATTGACATTATGGGAGAACAGGAGGAGCAACTTCAAATTTAATCCGCAGATTTAAAAGCCTAAGCGGTTGTCTCAATCAAGAGGTGTGGGGAGGAAAGCTTAAGTGTACTGAAATATTGAGAATCTGCCTGTTGCCTTAGTTCTTTCAGAAATCACTGTATTATTGAATTCATGATAAGCAGCGGCTTGAGAAATGTAGACGACTGTGGAGATGTCCAAAAGAATTAGTAACTCTTAAGCTTATTCCTCTCCAGAATGTCTTTTCTTTTAAAAAAAGGAAGAAGCAATATGGTTAATGGCATAACAGAGCTTTTGCAGTTGAGAACAAAATAGAACATCTTTTCTATGTATTACACCTGTTTTCTGGTAAGTCAAGGATCAGCAAGGCATGCAAGAATGATGAAGGCAGGCAACAGGTTTCATTACATTCCTAAAGGCTTTACAATACAAAATAAATTCCTTGCTCAGGCGTGCAGAGTCAACTACAAAAAGTAAATGCAGAATCATGTACAGAGAGGTAAGAAGCCGCTCAAATGGTCTTTCATATTCGGCTTCTTCAGAAGCCTGCAAGTTTCAGTAAGTTTTTCCAACTACAAAAAGTAAATGCAGAATCATGTACAGAGAGGTAAGAAGCCGCTCAAATGGTCTTTCATATTCGGCTTCTTCAGAAGCCTGCTTAAGGATTCAGCAAGTTTTTCAGCAAGGTTTGATCTTCTAATGATCAAACAGAAGGGGTAAAAAAGTCTGCCTGAATCAAACTTCTAGTAGAGATCTGACCAAGATTACCTGTTCCATTGGCTTGCGTCTGTGGCTTTGCAGGTTGCTGAGCTGCAGGCACCTCTTCCGTCCTACAAAGAAAACGCAAACAATGTGAAATGCTACAGATGAAGAATTTTTTCCCTTTTAGGTAAAGGGAGCACTGGAACCTCCACAGTTTCCATAGCTGAGATAATACAACTATGACAAGAGAAAACGAAACTTATGCCCTTTCACAAGATTCAAAACACTCATGGCACATTGCACTTAGGATCCAGGGAAATACCATCCACTGGAAGGAGAAGTGTGGTTTAGCCATTTCCTGTCACCGACAGCTCAATTTCATCTTACAACTACTAAATAATTTAGTATCAAATTTGTCGCATTACTTATGCCTTTGTGTTGTATATTTACTGCAACGCCTGCCAGGAAAACTCTTCAGAGCCCCGACTTTTCCCACAGTAATAAATGAAAACGGATTCCATATTGCAAGCTGACACAGTACTAGAACAAAACCACAGTTTAATGCATGAACCTTGAATTCTGCCATCATTACTAGAGTCAAACACCACTCATCTTCACAATGAGAGGAACAGGTGTCAAGAATTATTTAAAATGTTATGTTGTAAGCTCTTGAAATGCAGAGATACCAAGCAATTTTAAAAATATCTTTTTAAAAACTTGCAAAATTTAAATAATGGTCTGAAAAACGGAGAGAAAAATGTTCTAAAAATATATGGCAAGCAGCAGGCATAATTGGTCTCGTATTTCAAAACAAGTCAAGAATAATATTCTCATCCATGAAAAGTGAACAGATTTTGGAAAACACAAATGCTTTTGCCATTCTACATGTGTGCAAGGCTTAAAATTACATTTGCACTATCCACAGCCTCCAACTGCCAACCTGTCTTGAGAACACTTCAGGCTTCAGTCCAAAAGTCTTCAGCCATCCATGCAGATATCCTACAGAAAGATTTCTCTAATGAAGCAGCAGCTTTGACAACATAACACCAGCCACAGCAAGCTTTACTTGACAGGGAGTTGTATGACTGAAAAGATCACTGCTTGAAACAAAAACATGTCGGTCGTGCGATTTCATTATGAGACCATATAGGTGCTTTCAAATGGTCCCTTCATCTTTCGCTCCTCAGGAAGGGAACCAAGTGGGACACTGGTCAGCAAATGGAGAGTGGGAAGAGGGATCCCACTGTACTGGGCAGATTGCAGCAATATAGGCGGATATATAGCTCTCTTTCTTGCTGTTCCTCTAGAAAGTACATCAGTGAAGGATCTTGCTGTACTGTCTGCACACGGAAAAGGCCATTACGAATTTGTGCAGTCTGAACAAGTGTGACAGAGAAACTGCAGAACTAATTACCTCCCTTCCTTCCTAAGCACTCCCCATAGTTAACGAGCTTTCCACATCCTCGTTCATTTCTAAAAGGAACATTTAGAAATAATTTACTGATTTAAAAATATAACTGGACATCTATCAGTGTGCAATAGCTGAATTTGATGGTTTCTGCTTTCAAAGCCACTTGTTTTCACGTCTCTTCAGGACTTTTCTGTATTTGCGGCAACTCTTCTTTTCAAAAGCCACCTGAAATTCCACCAGTTTATTTTTTCTAGCTAAACTTTAATTTTGCTTTCTGTGCTATTCTTCTTCAGTTTCTATACAAACCAGGGGTTCCCCACCTAAAACGTCCTCCTCTCCTTACTCTTTCTCCCACCTCCTTGCATCACCTCCATTTCCAGCTCTGTCTCTCTAAAGACAAACAGCAATTAACGTGATCAATTTTGCACAAACTACTATATCACAGTGTCTTGTTTTCCTCTATTAGCACATCAGACAGTTACACCATAGAGGTAGGCATTTTCATCCTCAATCTGTCGCTCCCACCATGTTTCACTGAAGCTGAAGGCACGTTTTGCAAGAAAGGAGGTAGTCATTCACAAGCAGGTTCACACAGGCGGGACCCAGCTACTCAACCCGCTCCAGTCGTGTGAAGGCACTGGGGGGTGTCACACCTGAACGGCTCCAGTGACAGCACCAAGATGGGATCCCACCACCACCAGCTGCAGGCTGGGTCTTCCTTTGACATGCTGGGATATATTTTCAGAAGCAGCACAGCGTCATTACTGCCCATGTTTCTTGGGAAAAAATCCAGAAAACCTCATGAAGAAGCAGTTCTGGATAGCAGCCTCACTGGGCACCATCAGGAGCACATGATGGTTTGGCTTTGGCCCTTCTTGGTGCTTTTTTGTTTCTTTTTTTTGGCAATGTCTTACTTGCCATCTGCCTGTTACTCCTTCCCCATGAAGAACCTGACCTTTACGAATCATCAGGTTAATGACAGCTCATTACTGCACCTGTGAATCAGGTTATAATTAGCCACTTCAGACAGATTTGGGCCAGGAAGCTCAGAATTCATTGTTTTGGCTTGCACACCCACTGGGAAGCTCAATCCCAAAACCAGGTCATGTTGAACCAGCCAGTACATCAAGACCGCTGACGGAGGGGTGGTCCACTTTCCTACAGTTTCTGAACCACTCTTCATGCCAGGCATCAGTTAAAAGCCTGGAAAACACAAACGGTCCCCAGAACAACGCAAAAGGCTATGTTTCTATGCGGGCTTCCTAACTGCAGCCTGCACCAAAGAAAACATGAATTCCTCTGGGACCACGCTTTCCACCCAGAAAAAAAGGGTGTGACTGGTAACCCCAACAGATCCCCAACCTGAAGCTAGGTCGTGTTTATGCAACTAGAGATTGCACCCATTTAAAAGCACAGGCTCTTAAAACAGATAAGAGCAACTACAGCCAATGGAAAAGACAAACACAAATGTGCCAATTTTTTTTTTTTTTTTTTAATATAAACCGAAGTCAGGGAAGCATGACTGTTAGAGCTGTTCATGACCAGTAGACGTGTAGTATTCAAAAATGACCAGCACACACTGATGTAGCGTCCACTCGATGCTGCCCCACAGAATAGCACCAAAGGATTATTTTTATAGCTGCAAGTATGACACAAAAGTTAAGGGAGCCTTGACACTGAAGGCCATTTACCTTAACTAAATATTTTGGTTTTGTGCATCTTTGGCCTTGAACTCAGTTGCAGTTGAGGCATGTGTGAACCCACAGACTCTCCCCAACAACCGTGTGAAGAGTGGACTCACTGCACACAACAGGTCCAGTCGCTGCCGGGATGTTCTCAGACATATTAAAAGCAACAGGCTGACTCTGAGTACTGAGTTCACAAGCAACCCATCATCATTCTTTTGACAGCTGTTGTGGAAGACAGTCAAGGCTGTTACATCTTCCTTAGTGCTCAAAGCAACGTGAATGTGTATGCACTTCCATCAAAAGCACCTTAAACCTCAGAAATGCAAAAATACGCATAAAGGAAGTATTTTCACAGCCTAGTTTAAAGACTAATCATTCCAGTATACATGGCTTCTTAGCCTGAACAGCCATCACAAAACCGAGTTAAAACATTTTCATGTGTTTTGCATCTCCTTCCTATTAAAATACACCAACCATTTCAGAAGCCTTTGTCCTCCTCACCGGATACTCCCACATTTTACATGGCTAGTGTCCTAAACCGGTAGTTTCAGAAACAAAAGAAAAGGTTTCAGAAGAAATATCATCAACCCAAAATTGTACAAGATCTAAATGCTCAGGGCAGGAAAAAAAAAAACAAAACACAAAACTCTTGACGGGAGCTACTCTACAAGCAGCAGCCTGTCACCAAATCTACTAAGTTAAAAACAAAGGCATGCACAAAGTTCAGCCAACTGGGTGTGTCAGCAATCATGTATGTATGTCAGCAATCCCAGCACAGCAGCCGGGTGAGAAACTTTTTCCCGGGTCTCAAGTTCTTGCTACCTGTGTGGAGTTCCAGCATGACAGGGATCCTTCCAGGAGGGAAGCTTCCAGCCTCCAGAGCAATCTCAAGCTGAGGCATCTTCTCAACAGACAAATTCAGCTACGCTTAAAACATCGCATGTGTGGAAGATGATGTCATTTAACAAGGGGCCAGAAAGAGTTAACCAAGATAAGTGGTACAGAAGGAATAGTGGCTTATGCAGAAGCATTGTCTATTTTCTCCTCTTAAAAATAGCTCACAATGATACTAATAAAAAGGTTTGCATAAGTCACAGCTTGTTGGTAGGTGTTGTTGCAAAACTACTTTTTTTGTTAATTTTTTTTCTTTTCTGTGTGATGGAGCTAGCTCACAATTTGTAAAGTAAGGCAGCAACAGCCCACAATTTACACCAAATAAGCAGTGCTCACAGAGACTATTCCAAATTATTTATGCATTGTTCCACTAGCAAAATGTCATGAGCTTCAGCTGTTGTACCAAATGCTGGGCTGTCCCAAAGTGCGTCTATGAAAACTTCAGCTGAGGCCACCATGTTTCTGAATACTCAGACATACAGACAATGAGCACCATGACAAACAAAACCGCTAAGTATCCTCTTCTTCCACTCCTCCCTCTTGCCTGTGAACAATTCAATGAAAGAAGCCCATGTTCTTCACTAAAAAAACCCCAAATAATAAAAAGCTGGATTATTGGCTCATGGTTTTCTCTTTGCTGAACACTTTGCAGCATGTATTTATATAGCTACATGTATTGATCTACTTCACAAATACAACTATTAAAATAATTCCTCCCTTCTTAACATCCCAGCATGATTTGGTTTTTATTAGTAGTTCACTTCTGTAAGTAAAAAGGAGAGTACATGCAAACATGTTTATATGCATGTCTATTTAAAGATCATACGAAAAACTAGCTAACTGAGCAGCAGGGCAAATTTGGTTTTGTTGACATAAGCAGAGATGACTTTCTGCGGTAACTCCGCTTAATAAAATTAAGTTCCCATCAGGCGTAAATTTGGCCTATTATGTATTTGATTGTGTCAGCCAACACCTCACTTGTAGTCCTAATAAAAGTATTTTAAAACGTCTACAGCGAAGCGCAAAAAGATAAAAAGCAGTGAAAAAGAATTTCACACAATGGAGCACAAGTTAAGGAAAAACCATCGGCAACCTGATTTTTCTTCTTCTGGGTAGAAACTGGGAAAGTCTTCAAAGTCTTTTTTTGTTGTCATCTTACATATATCTAACTGTCCCAAAAAGGTTGGAATATTAGCAAGGCTAGTTAGAAAAAGACTCGGATAAAGGGGATAATTGGCTGAATGTAATCCCCAAGTGCAATACCCAAGCTAAAAGGGCTAGTGTAATCCTCAGGATATTTAAATGGGAATACAGCATTGAAGCAGACAGGTCATGCTACCTTAATTTAGCAATGGCACGCCTGCTAGAGATTTGCTGTTGTCCACAATCCAACAAGACACAGATGTTGACACTAATATTGATAAACAAAGACCTTCAAACTCTTTTTTCCGTAAAACACATGTACTCATAAGGCGCAGTGGGCCATATCAGACCCTGGGCCATCCTCATTACTCTGAAATAGAGCAGGATGATGGGCACCTTCCTGCAGAGGAAGGCGGCTCCTCATCCTTCTCCAGGACTCCCAGCAACGATGGGATCACTCTCCCCCTTCTCCGGCGCGTGACCTAAAGCCCAGGCACATCTGCTCTCGGGAGAAAGCCTAAAGGCCTACACCAGCATTAATGGTACAACCTGTACTGTGCTTAAAGACAAGCATGTGGAATTTGCATCTCAAATGACTTCTTCAAGGCAGGAAGTCAGAGACAGATGGTATCCTGAAGCGTCAGCTTTATCTACCAATACCAGAAAACAATACTCTTTGCTTTGTACTGCTGTCATGGAGCTAACAGGTACTTGCAGCACGGGGACGGGTCCAAGTCTGTCCTCTTCCACTGTCCCCAGTAGCCCACTCAACCAGGCAACATTAGTCTAGACACAAAATAGAAGTTACATGTGCATACAGCCAGGCCAACCAGCATAGGCAATAAAAATGCACTGCCACTTCCCAGCTGTAAGAGCAACTGTAAAACATCACCAAAAAAACCCCCGGATCAGAGTCATCCAGATCACCTTCCCAGTGCATGGTCACGGGGCTAGCTTGGGAACAAGATTCCTGCACAAGGACCTCACAGAGCCTCTTCCAAGCGTGCAACTTGGTAGCTCAGGTCAAGACTGCACATGGACCGATCTTGCACGGAACCAGTGATTTTGGAAAAGCACCAGTGTGAAACATCAGCCAAAAAAACCCCACTGTACCAGGTACTGAGGATAAGAGGAAAGGCCTAATTTATCTTCTATATAAGGCCTTGGCAAACCCACAGTTTGAATACTGCACGAACTCAGCCTCTTCGTCTTAAGACACAGCAGTTAAAGAATGGCAACTGAAGCGATGAAAGGGATGGAGTACTCTTAAGGAGACACTGGAAAAGCTGGAACTCTTCAGTCTGGAGAGGAGAAGAGTAAAGAGGAAAGGACTGATCAAGGCTGGTAAATAAGCTAAATGCTGAACAGTTTTCACCAAATCTCACAATTCCGTAACTATGGGGTACTTCTTGAAACCACTAAGATATCTGTTAAAAAGGAAAGAAAATAAATTGCTGCTTTAGAGTCAAGAGTGGACTTCTGTAACATACTGCCTCCGTAGCTTCCAGTGGTAGATAGCTCCAGCACTTTCAAGAGTGGGTTAAATAAATCCATGGATAACAGGTCTGCAAACAGATACTGAAGTGAAAAGGCAGCAATGTACCTTCTGATACCCCTAAATACAGTGTTTGTGGATGCTTATTAGGAGCGGCTGAGGGAACTGGGGCTGTTTAGTCTGGAGAAAAGGAAGCTGAGGGGAGACCTCATCGCGCTCTACAACTACCTGAAAGGAGGTTGTAGCGAGGTGGGGGTTGGTCTCTTTTCCCAAGAAACAAGTGATAGGACAAGAGGAAATGGCCTCAAGTTGTGCCAGGGGAGGTTTAGACTGGACATTAGGAAAAATTTCTTTACTGAAAGAGTGGTCAAGCCTTGGAACAGGCTGCCCAGGGAAGTGGTTGAATCACCATCCCTGGAGGTATTTAAAAGACGTGTAGACATGGCACTTAGGGACATGACTTAATGGTGGACTTGGCAGTGTTAGGTTTATGGTTGGACTCAATGATCTTAGAGGTCTTTTCCAACCTAAATAATTCTATGATTCTATAGGAGTAGGAGGTAAACAGACCGCAGAAAGCAACTAGGCTCACATGTTTCCTATAAATGGCTTGTATTTCCATTGCTACAGAATACCAGTGGACTGCTGGCCTGACCAGAAAGGTCAGGATGAGTACAGATGGAAGCAGCAGGTTGGGAAGAGTTTGTATGGCATTGGGAAACCCCATATCCAAGCAAAAAGTTTTGCCTGTTCGTTCTTGCTTGTCACCTCTAAGTAACTGGCAGTGCTTATCACATGCGATTACCAACTCAGCCTGCACTATCTCCTGGTGACAGTAGCTGATGGTGAACCACAGATCCTACTGCTCAGCCAAGTACTCTTAGCTACTGCTCAGTACGGTAACACAGGCAGCTACGTATGCAAATGGTCTAGACCAACAAGGCCACCAAGCAGCTGCTATGGTTTCAAGATCTGAAGTCCACGCAGCTAGGCAGACTAAGGAGAGACAACATCAAATGTGATGCTTTGCATCATCGAGGTGGATGTCTTCAAGGCTGAAAGGACTTAGGGGTATAGGGAGGCATGTTTCCATTTGTCACTGCAACAGCAAGGAAGGCTCAAACTCCAGTCATTCCCACACATTTAGGGTTGTGCTGTGGTACTGGGATGTCCTTGCTGCTGCTAGAACAGGAGTAACAAGGACTGGGCAGTCTGGAGATGACACAGGTTTTGACAAGGCAAAGCATATGCAATGGCATTGCAAAGGGTCTGGCATTCAGTAGCACACAGTGCACGCTGATAGCTCCAGGTGACATCCCAGAGGGAGGGCATCAGAGAAGGTGAAATGAATGTCCCAACTAGACAAGCATCAGGGCACCTCTGTAGTTAGGGCAGTATGTACGGTCAAGTAATTCAGGTGTATGTGGGTGTACAAGATGTACTTTTACAGGAAAACATAGACAGCTTCTCTCTCTCTGAGCTACTAATTTATTTTAAGAAAACCTAGGCTGGAAATGGATGCTTTCACCAGAGCTCCTCAGAGACAGTCAGAGATCTCAAGTGGCTTTCAGCTTTACAATGAAGATATTTATCTTACCTTGCTTTAGATATTTCTCTTACCTTGCTTTAAGTACTTCATTGACTTTTTGTTCTAGTTCTAATCTCCTCTGCCGTTCCTTTTCTAGCTCCTGCCTTAACGTTTCAGCATTTGTTTCTTCTCTCAGCTTCCTGAGCTCCTCCTCTGTTAATTAAGGGAGAAGAAAAAGATTTAGTTACCCTGAAGTATTTCCATAAGAAAATTAAAACCTAATTATGACAGATTAGGTGGGGTTTTTTTATCTCTGCTATACCAAATATATTCACCAGAAAAAACAAGTAATCAAGGGCTAGAAAGACTTCATAAAAAGCACACAGCTGTATCATGCAGAAAATGTTTAGTTACAATTGTTTAAGCAAGGAAAAAAAAAACTTTAAACTTTTCTTTTCAAGATGCAATGTATCAAAAATAAGCCCTTGGTACAAGCTACCTTTATCTAAATACAACGTGATGTACCCTTCGTTCCCCAAAGAA